CAACTACTTCCACCGCTCCCGCACTGCGCCTGCCATGTCCAACTTCAACAACCTCACGAAAGAACAGGGCAACCGCCACCAATCTTCGGCCGAGGGCAGCGAATCGCCAATCGTTCGAAATGCGTTCATCCTCCTCACAGTATACCTTGTTTTTGGGGTCCTCATGTACTCCCTTAATAGGTCCGATTTCGTGGCATCGGAGACCCATCCTGTCGTTGACGCCCTTTACTTCTGCATCGTGACCATGTGCACAATTGGCTACGGCGACATCACACCGTCCTCAACAACCTCCAAAATCTTCTCCATCGCATTCGTCCTCATTGGTTTCGGTTTCATTGACATCCTCCTCTCCGCGATGGTTTCGTACGTTCTCGACGTGCAGGAGCACCATCTTCTCGACGCAGCGAAGCATCGTGCTCAGGGGAGTAAGTTAGATGCACCTTCCTACGTCATCGATTTGAAGAAGGGGAGGATGAGAATCCGGCTTAAAGTTGGATTGGCGCTTGGCGTCGTCGTGCTCTGCATCTGCGTCGGAGGGGCGTTCCTGCGATTCGTTGAGAAATTGAGCTGGCTTGATGCGTTTTACCTTTCGGTGATGTCGGTGACCACCGTGGGGTATGGAGATAGGGCTTTCAAGACCATGGAAGGACGGATTTTTGCCTCCATATGGCTGCTGGTATCTACGCTCGCGGTGGCGCGAGCGTTTCTGTATCTGGTTGAGGCGAGGATGGATAAGCGGCACAGGAAGATGGCTAAGTGGGTACTTGCGAGGAACTTGACTGTTTCAGAGTTTCTTGAGGCTGATATTGATAACAATGGCTTTGTGAGGTGTGATCTTCTCTTCCACTTCATTTTTATTTTCTGATATATTCTAATATTTCTTGTTTGATTCCGTTTATTTATTTATTTCCATGTGGTAATTTGGTACTGCCTTAGGGTAGTGGTGTGATTCTGATATGAATGTTTTGCATGTGGAAAACGCGTGTTTCATCAATAAATGGCTGTGTCGGGTTGATTGATTGAGTATTAATCTTTTTCATAACAAATAGGGGTTTTGTAAGGTTGTCTTGCTTGTAGAAGGGCCAAAAAGAGTGTCTATTCGGGTAATGAATCCTATTTGATTTGTCAAAATCTTCTATTTCTAGATCGATTAGTTATATGAATTTGTGATGCAACTTGATGTGCTCTTATTAATTGTATGGA